TGATATTTTTAGATTTTTGTTGTGTGGTGGGTTCATCTATGCAATTTTGAGAGCTATAATAAGATTTAAAGATCGTGCAGGATAAAAATGACTGAGCCCGAGGCGGGCAGTACGGAGGCGAAGGTGTTTGACGTGTTATCGCTTGCGTCGGCCGCGAGCAGAGCAGGGTCGACGATCTATCTTCCGTTGCCGAAATAATTTGCCCGTATAATCGTGGCGGTAATCGCTGCAAAATGAACCGCGGTCCTGCCATGCACACACACCGCGCCGGATTGCATGCATTTAGGCATTTTTTTGGCTCCTCTGTGTGCGCGTGTGTCTGTGTGTGCGTCCGGCGTAGCGGGATGGCTCTGACGCACCACCAGATGCGTGCGATTTTAATTGGGCATTCAGTGCCCCTCCTCCCCCCTTAATTGCGGGGCCTGCCTTTGGGACAGACTGGACTGGCCGTGGTCTGGCCGTGGCCATAGCCACGCTCGCAATCAGCTGCCATGGATATTTTGCCTCGAGACGAAAATCGTTATTGTCATGTCAGGGCCTTCCATCTTTTTGTCTGTAAACGTTTTCTCGTTTTCAATTTGCTTGTCGCGCTGTCATTGACGAGGCGGCCGGGCCCCCGCCTGCCCCCGCCTGCCCCGCCTGCCCCGCCTGCCCCCGCCTGCCCCGCCTGCCCCCTGCCCCCGCCTGCCCCCGCCTGCCCCCCGCCTGCCCCCGCCTGCCCCGCCTGCCCCCGCCTGCCCCCCTGCCCCCGCCTGCCCCCGCCTGCTTCGTTCCGTTCGACATGTTCATAGATTGGAGCGAGTTTTCCTCTTGTGTGTCAACGACAGGGGCGAAATTTTTTTTTGCTGAAAAAGCTGTTATATTTCGCGTGGGAATGCAGAGCGGATAAGCCTTTTCACTCTATCAAACTGCGGCTTAGCTTGATGACTCTTGAAAGTATCTCTCAGGGAGGATGACACTGACTGATCCAGCGTTTGTGTGTACGTGTCTTTCCGTGCTGTCGTCCGCGCGCATGTGTGTGTGTGTGTGTGAGGGAGAGGGCCAGAGAGGCTCATTTCAAAACAGTGGCCCTGTTAGGCTAGCGGCCCCGGCTGCCTTCGCTTGGCCGCGACGCGTCGCGCAGGTGCAGCAGGGCCCCGGCCTGGCCCAGCCCTGCAGGGCCCCGGCGCACGAGCCCCCTGCACTTGGGTGGGTAACACACACGGTGATGTACGGCGTTTAGTGGCTCTCTTCTAATGGTTGGTCCCCGCCGTTCCTTCTCCTTCTTGTTCTTTTTCCTCTTCCGGACACACGGACAGGTGCGAAGGGGGCCCGCGCGCACACTCATACACACGCGCACACTCACACACACACGCGCGATCACCTACACACACACACGCACACACACACTCACTCACACGTGCGCGCGCCGAATGGCTACCTCTCACGCGAGTAGCCTGTAATGTGATCGCGATGCACAGAAGATGCATTGACTCTCCCTTTCCAGTTTCGAGGAGAAAAAAAGAAGAAGAAAGGAAGCAATAACTCAGCCCTATTAATGTTTTTGTTTATCTAACTCTTTCGATTTTCGTAGTGTATTCGTCTTGATGGCTTCAAGCAATTAAAACTGCGTCGTCTAATTTACAAGTTGTAAGAGGATTTTCTGCGGCCTGCAGGTGTCGTGCTCTGCCGCTCTGTTTGCCCTGTTCTGGCGCCGGGAAGTGTTCCGAATTGACTGCCCGTAGCTGCAGCAAAATTGACTAAATAGTATGAAAATTTCGACTTTCTGTAACAGTGAGGTAAAACCAGAATTGTGTCAACTCCTTGGTGGCAGAATGACGTCAATCCTGCCGCCGGCTCGGCGTGGGTCCACTGGGCAGTACCCGGAAGGCCGCGGACTCGTCTAGTGGACTCGTATCCTTGGCGAGGTTGCTTCATCGGACTTTATTTCAGCCCAAGCCCAAGGACGCATTCACCAGTCCCAGCCGCTTGAACTTTTCGTGGTCTGCCCACACTGAAAAACCAAACGTGGCCCAGACCGCACCACTGCTGGTGTGGTCAGATGGGTGCCATTTTGACCACATCAGTTGGTGTGGTCTAGACCACGTTTGGCCACGTTTGGTGCGGTCTAGACCACGTTTGGCCACGTTTGGTGTGGTCTAGACCGCACCAAAGGCACCAAACGTGGTCTAGACCACACCAACTGATGTGGTCAAAATGGCACCCATTTGACCACACCAGTTAGTGCGGTTTAGACCACGTTTGGTTTTTCAGTCCAGCCAAGTAGCCGGCCATTTTTGACAGCACTATATAGGGCCCTGTTAACGGGACTGTCGGTTTTTAGTAGCGCTGTCTGTGTGTCTCATCCGAAAAATGACGAAGACAACAAGGGAATACTTTTAATGATGCCTTCCTCAGAGACGCGTCAGGGCGACAGTCGCGGACGGCCCTGAACAGGTGCACCCTGGCTCGCGCACTGGCTGGACGGCTGGACTCAGTTTCGTTTGGGATTGCGCTGGCCTTCTGAGAAAGCACGCCTCGGACGCGGGTTCGAGTCCGGGCCCCGGCGGCCCCTTTGCCTTGTTTCACATGACCCCGCGCGTGTTTGAGCAGCGCAAACGCAGCAGGTGTTCGGGCAGGTGTATCGTACGACAGGAGTATCGGTAGCGCCCATCGAGTGCTCTGGCAGCGCGCTGGCGTGGGTACGGGGCGGCGGTAAAGCTGCCGGAAAGGTCGGAAAAAGAAGTCGCACAAGGCACCTTTAAGTCGGCAACTTTTGCCACATCGACCCCGCATGAAACCATCCCTTGACTTGATAGGCTAGACCACTAGGCGAAAACGGACAGAAGTGATCTTCTTAGGTTTGCGCATGGTAACCTCTACCTGGTTAAACCGGCCTCTCTTTGTAGCGGCCTACTTTTGCTCGCTCCTCTTAACACGTGTAAAGCTGTCATTTGGGTGTTCAGCGGAGCGTGTTGCGTTTGCTCTCGCTTCGTCACCTGTGGTCTGCCTCATTTCTCTGTCCTTCTCGCACCCCTGCGCATTGCCCTATGAGAGAGAGAGATGAACGGCTGTTTTGAATGAGCTATGCGGGCCTGGCCGGCCGGCCGGCATACAGAACGCCATCCTGCGATTATGTCTCACACGTGTCAAACTGTGTATGACTGCGCGTCTCTGCGCCAGCCCCGGCGTGCCCCGGCGTGCCAGCCCGCTTCCGGAACACTTCCGCTTAATTGTCTTTCCGGCCACCTCGTTGGTCCCTCGATGCGATTACGCTCTCCAATCGCCGACCGGCCGCGACCGAGTGCGTGCGGACCGAGTACGGGCTGGCTGGGGACGGCTGAGGCTGACTTTTTGGCAGGGTACGCTTTGGACCCCTGGGCCATGCCCCGGGCCTGTTGAACAAACGCCCTGACTGGTACCAGAGCACCGGCAGGCAGGGCAGGTGCAAAAGGTGGGACTGCAGAAAGGGGTGGCGCACGAAGATAAAGAGAGAAAGGGAGAGATTGATCAGGGGTTCTGAAGAGCGCGAGGAGCGCGAATTATATTTATGCCCAAGCTCCAGGAATGCAGACTTGCTCTGGCTTCCCACTCTGTACTCTCAGCGTAGTGACTGCGTTGCTATTAACCTACCTTTTCATCTAAAACAGCGTCAATACGATCAAAGCAAACACAGGTCCTTGACATCCCACTTATATTTCTAAAACAACTTGAAAAAATGTCTGAGCGGTTAAAGGTTACTTGGCATCTATACTGAGGAATGGCTCAATCACTTAGCTTTCACTGAAAATAGAAAGGTGAGACTTCTGACCGCTATAACAGTCTTACTGAAATGTACGACCGAAAAAGGGTCATACTGAAACGTAAGACCGAAACAAGGTCATACTTCGATGTATGACCGAAAAATGGTATCACAGGTAAAGGCTGATATATCTCCAAGCTAAAAAATAGACAGTCTCGCTGATGTCTCACCTTTTTTTGGTCATACATTTAAGTATGACCCTTATTCGGTCATACATTTTCGTATGACCGTTTTTCGGTCATACTTTTTGTATCACCGAAAATCGGTCAGATGTCTCACCCTTCGAATTGCAGTGAGCTGAGATAGCAAGGAGTGTTCGAAGAGCACTTATTTCCTTGCCCACTGCGATTGGAGTGTGGGTGTCCAGAACATACAAAAATTATGCTGGTTTTTGCCCTCTTTTTCCAGGGTAAGTAGGCAGGCGGCAAGTGTGCTAAGCAGACACATCGCACTCACACTGCAATTAAACTCAGGCTGTCATTTTCCTGTAATCTGCTTCACTTTTTATTTCGAACTTCCGTTGTTATTTCACAAATTCGCGTGTTTCTTCGCACGCGCTTGGCGCGGCGAGACGCGGCGAGACGCGAGGCCAAACTAGCAAAAAGGCAGTAATTGTGGCAGCTTGTAATTATCCAGTGAAATGGCGATGGCGCTGCGGCTTTCTGCAAAATAATCCGCTTTTATGTGTTGTTGGCGCGGCGCTCGGTTATCTGTGGCGCCCAGGAGGCTGAATCCGAACAGCGTGCTTTTGTCGTTCTCTTTTGCACCAGTGGCGCTTTCCGGAGAGAGAGAGAGAGAGAGAGAGAGAGAGAGAGAGAGAGAGAGAGAGAGAGCGAGCTAGTGAAGGGCCCGTTTTGTCGGGAGCACTGCAAACAAAACTGGGAATGGCGTGTGACGTGAATGAGACTCGTGGAAGTGGCCTTCCTCATTCATCATCATCGCCATCGTTGCCTGCCATCAATTGGATCCTGGCTTTGGCACTTGAACATGTTCCCTTTACATCGGCACCTGCGTGGATGGGGTTGAGACGGTACTGTGTGTTAAATGCTCCAGCGTGAAAACTGGCCGCGCGATCCAAAATGGTGTATTGGTGTTTCACGAACAACGTCATTTTCACTTTACGTCAACGTTTGAATGTCTTTTAAATCTAGGCTTCATGAAAACCGTACTCGAACATGGTCAAACTTGCTGACGATTGGTTCCTTGTGATCCTGTGCAGGTCCATCGAGGTGTTCGGGCAGACGGGCCGGAGGCATTCGGACATCCTGGAGGAGCAGAGGCAGGCGGCCGGGTCGGTGCACGGCGGCGCCCTGCGCTACCCCAAGGCCCTCGTCTTCTGGATGCAGTGTGACAAGGTAAAGGCTGACGTCACGACTGACATGTCGGTGCAGCAAATGCAACATATGCGCACCCAGGCGTGCAGATTGGGTCGCCGGTCCGATGACGGCCTGCCATGCGTTTGACGCGGCGAGTGTGGGACTGTCCGGCCGATTACTGTTGGATGGTTCGAGTGGGGCGGACGTGTTGGCAGGCAGTGCCGCCACACCGTGCCAACCATCTCACTCAACGAACCACTTTGCTCATTCTCAAATTCTCTCGGTCTCTTTTGGGAGTAGCATTCACTGTCAAAGTACACGGAGACGAGTTGAACTATTTTAATTAGATACATGATCTTAATTGCGATGGAATTTCTCTTTCAATACGGTATTAGTAGAAGTCTATATCGCTCAATAAAGACCCGTTTCCTTCGAGGATCTCAGAGGACGCATTTCGATGGCTTCTCTGCAGAGTCTCCCTCTCTCTCTCTCTCTCTCTCTCTCTCTCTCTCTCTCTCTCTCTCTCTCTCTCTCTCTCTCTCTCTCTCCCCCTCCCTCCCTCTCTCTCCGGCGATCGATAAGCCTATTCACGGCGCCAGGCGATAGGGCGATAATATCGCGGTATCACAATGCCCGTCGAACTTCATTTGTCCATCTGGTCAGTGACCGCGCCAGCAGCGCTGGCAGCGCTAGCAGCGCCAGCTCTCGTCTTGATGGCTCGCGTCTTGTAGCCTTGGCGGCCTCCATGGCCTCCATGGCCTCCATGGCCTCCAAAGCCCCTACGGCTCCCAAGGCGTCCACGACCTTCAAGGCCTCCGACAACCTCCAAGGCTTCCACGACCTCCAAGGCCTCTAACGGCCTCCAAGGCCTCTAACGGCCTCCAAGGCCTCTAACGGCCTCCAAGGCCTCTAACGGCCTCCAAGGCCTCTAACGGCCTCCGAGGCCTCTAACGGCCTCCAAGGCCTCTAACGGCCTCCGAGGCCTCTAACGGCCTCCAAGGCCTCTAACGGCCTCCAAGGCCTCTAACGGCCTCCAAGGCCTCTAACGGCCTCCAAGGCCTCTAACGGCCTCCAAGACCTCTAACGGCCTCCAAAACCTCCAACGGCCTCCAAGGCCTCCAACGGCCTCCAAGACCTTTACTGTCCGCATGGCCTTGACACGCTTCCTCGACGGCCGCCTCATTTTCCTGCCTTGTCGCTGGAGCACTGCTGGAGCAGCGCAGCCATTCGTCCCGATGGGCACCGCGCGCGATCGTTTCCACAACAATAAAAATCACCCAGCTCCAACGGGGCGATGTTCCATGTGATAAGGTGGGGCCCGCTGGCAATACAGGTCTTCCAAAATTCGCACAGAGCCGCTGCGTTGCCGCCCACACCGTAACTGCATTTGCACCATTGTGTTCGTGGTCTCACCCAATTTTAGGCATGTGACATTTTTCCCCCGCACAAATTAGTGCGAAGTTTTGTACAAATTTGTAGGCAGAATCTCACAGTGCGAAGTTGTACAAATGTAGAAAAAGCACGCACGCGCGAAATTGTGCGAGACACGTAGAGCAGTTGTGGAAAAGTAGTAAAGTGCAAAGGTCAGGAGATATATTCTGGATCTGGCCTTGCGGCGGCGGTGCGGCGGCGGCGCGGCGTCCGATGAATGAAACGGGCGGCCCAACCGCCTCACTCATGGGTGTAAACTCGGCTCGGTGTGCACACACCCGTTCATGAGGCGAGCTCGCGTGTGCAGCGGTGTGAAATTTGCGGCTCGATTGGCTGGCAGTGTGTCGAACGCCGTCAAACGCGCCCTCGCCCGCCTGCCCCATTTGACGGCGCGCCGGACAGCCACTTGGACCGGTGCCTGTCGGGGCCGACCGAAGCGTCCGAGACGGCGGGGCGCGCGGCCCGGTCGCCGCCACCGTCCGCCGGCTTGGCGACAGTTCGGCGAGACTTCCGCGTTTCTCACGCAACTTTAAGCGGCTGGCTGGATGGGCCTCCCCCACCGTGCATTGAGCGCAGTGCGTCACTGGGACAAAGTCTTTTGGGCGGGCAAGGAATCCCACCGCGAGGAAAGAAAATCACGGTAAGTCCAGCATTTATGTACACTTCGGAACCGTAGACCGTTCCCCGCTGCGTACAGTCACGGCTTCCACCCTCGCGTCGTGGGCGGCAGTCGTTTAGGCGCCCCCGCCGGCATGAGGTCACATGGCCGTATGACCTTAGTGGCCCAGCGTTGCGCCCCAGCTGGACACCCTTGGACGCGTCACCGCGTCTGAAGCGTGAGCGGGATCAATACCGCCACCTCTCCGCCCTGTGTTCCGGCCGGCCGAACCAGCGGGCCGCCTCGCCTCGCCCCCCCGGAAGCCCTGCAGCCTTGCAGCCCAGTCAGTGGCCCGCTTGGCCGTGGGCGCGTGCGAACGTCGGAGCGTGCGTCGGCCCCTCGAAATAGCCAGCGCGGATTTTTAAGGTCGCCGGGCAAAAATAGAGGTCATGTTTTGGCTAGGCCGGCGTGTCATGTGATCCACTCACACGTGGCGCGGGCCGCGGCGGCGGCGGCACCGCCGTGCGGCAGAGAGGGAGTGAAAGGGAGAGAGGGGGGGTTGTATTGAAGGGGGAGTGGCGCCAACGGCCCCCGCGGCGCGGACGAACGGCCACCTCCCCCGCGGCTTGCGAGCCTGGTCCTCGCTGCCGCCAGTGGGGGTGGCTTGCTCGCCACGGCGCAGCTCACGAATTGCAGCGACCGCGCGGCGTCGTTGCAGCAGCGGGGGCACCTGTGCGTTGGACAAGTGTCAATGGTGGAATGCCCCTTGGCGCCGGCAAGTCGTTACCCACACTGTTGCGGCGCGTGGCGTTCCCGGTACAGTGTCTCACCGGCGCCGTTTCTTGCGGACGCGCGTCGCGACGTCTCGGCGACAGCTGGCCGGGGTTATTGGTGTGAGGCGCGGAGGAAGTGGCCGAAAAAAGAGAGGCGCGCCACTTTTTATTGTGTGGCCGACCGGCCGGCCGGACGGACCGGGAAGTGAAGGTGTACCGTGCTCCTGTTAGCACGCCGTCTGGGAGGGGCAGCCAGTGTGCCCCGCGGCGGCCGTGCGGCGGCCGCGGCCCCAGGAATAGGCTACCCGTAGTGCTGCCGAGGGGCTCTCAAGTTCCACACTTTAATTCTACGTTTTCCTGAAATTTGCCTCACACCTGGGGACGTCAGTGAATATGTTTGTGAAGACCTCACTTTCCAGTTGTTTTCTGTGTGGCTTTGACATTACTTCTTGTACAATTTACATTTTTAGTAGCGCGCACTGGGAGTCACATTGAAGTGTGGCTGCGGAGAGAGGTGTCAGACCAGCGCGTTGTGGGGCCTCAGGTCTCAGGCTTGCCGTCACCGTGGCGAGAGTTATGCGAAGTGGCCTTCATCCCTGCTTGTCTCAGCTGAAACCACGGAATCAGTTCTTGGGCCACACATGACCAAATGAAAATGGTTCAACTTTGATTTATAATCATAGATGATTTGCAAAAATTAAATGTAAGTTTCCATACTAGCGGTGCCTCTGACGGCGCTCCGCCTGGTGACAATGATGGTGCTGCTGCCGACAGCCCTAGCTGCCCGAGGCAGTGCTGGCCGGTCACTGGTTAGGAGAGGAGGGGGCTTGGCGACGCCGGTGCTCTCTGCTGGGGGTGCTGGGGTTGCCTGAGTTATATTAAGAGGAAGCTTCATTCCGACGGAAGTGCCAGGGGACTGTCTGGACTGACTGTCCTCTCGGCTATATTTGGCCCTGGGATTTGGGTGGGAACGTGTGTTCAAATTAGCCGCGCGCGTTTTGTGTCCAGGCTGGTGTGGGTTTCACTGCCTTGGCCGAGCCAACACGCTTGTGGCAGTTTTCCAAGCCACGTGTGTTATCTTGCCCCAATTTTTTGGGCCGGCGAGCTGGATTCACACCTGTACACACGCCTTTTGTTCCGTGTGTCCCACATGGCGGTGCCATGGTGGTGCCGTGGCGGTGCCAAGGCGGCACGGGGCACGGGGCCAGGGGTGGCAGACCTCGAAGAGGTGCCGTAGACCGTTCACCTGGCTGGCCGAGTGGACCAAGGGGTGGACGGCCGGCGGGCTTATTTTGAAACCGCAAGTGGGCGGGGTGGCGTCAGGAGACATTTGGCCCGCGGGGGTGCGGCCGTGCCCAGGCCGTGCCCCCGACACGCCCTGGAGCACAGGGATCACTTTTCTCATCTCCGAGCAGCCAATACTGCTGTGTACGGATGAGGGTTAGCTCCCTCTTTGTCTCGTTTTGTTTCCCTGCTGATCGAAAAATGCTGGATAGCATTCTTGCCGTGCCAATCGCATTTGCATGGGCCAGGGAGACACAGGCAGAATGGCTTGATTGGAAAGGTGGGTATGCCATTTTTGCCAATCGGATTCCCGGAGGGCAGTCGTATCCCAATTCATTGAAAACGCTGTTCAGTGGAAAAATCATTGGAGAGCCGGAGGTTAAATTCTTTGTTGCAGTACACATTCACTCCAGTTATTTACACACACTATTTTCCCCCGCAGCTTTTTCGGCCCGAGCGGAGTCTCTACCCAAACAGACAAATCTGCTGGCCAAATTGCTGTTGTTCAGAGGCGCGCGAGGCGCGACTCTAATTGTCACTTCCTGAGATTGGGAGCACCACACATGAAAAGTTTTCACGCCTGCTTCACACACACACACACACACACACACACACACACACAACACGCGGACTGCACTTTGCATAATGGGAAGTTTGGTCTGCCTGGGGAGGCGTTGCGCTCGCGTGCCTTCGGGGTGGTGCTCAAACGACAGCTCATAAAATATTGTCGCGATTAGCACGATGTGTCGTCTATCACGGACCAAGTTTTGAAGGGTGAAGAGGGGGAAGCGATCGCTCGGGATTGTGCGCCGATTTAAGTCTCAAGTTAGGCTGACATAATCTCACCAAGTGTTTTCGGTAAGTGTCGTGTTGTGCCCTCACCGCGGGATGTGAAGCTAGAAATCGGGCCTCTCGAGAGGGCCTCCCTTCGGCCTAGGGTAAGACGGGAGCAT